GGGGATGTTCATGGGTTCAGTATTGAGGCTGAAAGCGTTTAGCAGGAATGCCCACTAGATCCTGTCGTTGGCTGGGCTCATCAACATTTTTTTCTATCAATGGGTAGACTTGCCCGAGCAACTTGTTCATTCCATCTGAACCAAAATTCTCTAAAACTTTCCTTGGGTTTCTTTTCCATCTGAGATAGGGAGGAGTGGTCTGGGACAATGTCTATATTGTACTGAAAGTGCCGCACAAAATCCTGAGCTATGTCATCCCATGTATGCCACTTACCGACATCTTGACGATTATTCCATTCCAAAGCTGCCCCAGTCAGGCTCTCATTGAAATATGTCATTAGCAACTCATCTTTCCTGCCAACACTTCTTATTTCACTTCAATAACCCCTCAGTTGGTCTATCGGATCTCCACGCCCCTCATACAAATTAAACTTTGGCACTTTAAACCCCGCGGGCAGATAAACATCAGGGAACATGTTAATCTGATTTCACATCCCTTGCATGCTCCTTAAGGATTGTTCTATACCTTTCAGCTTCCTGAATATCTCATCTTGCCCTTCTTTTCCTGTGAACTTTTCATTTTCAACATGAGGCTCATCCCGAGGGCTCTGCTTGTATGAGTTAGGAACCTTGTGGGCAATCTCTGAGGGGTAATATTGGGCATCATGAGCTTTAAGTGGATGTTTATTATTGGATCTATGAACGGAATATTGTTGAGAAGTTGTGATCATGGGGGTAGTGGATATGACAGGAGGGCAATTTTGGGGAGAGGTAATTGGAGGATGAGTGATGGAGCTACTAGAGTGGTTGGGAAAGCTGTGATAAGTGGGTGGATCTGGAGAGTATGGGGGATCATCTGACACTATGACCGGAGTTTGGGTAAGGGTAGCATCTAAGAAGCTAAGTGGTGGCGGGGTGGTGCCTTCCCAGTCATCCAAGCCTGATACATGTCCGCAATGTGTTGTCTTAACATCCTTACTTCTTCAACCAACCCATTGCCCTGTTTAACCAATTGCTTTTGGGCACCAGTATCAACCTACTCGATTCCGTTGTCGTCTGCCATTGCCTTTCGACCTTATGTTGTAGAGAAAAGTTACCACTTTAAGAACCACAAACCAACCACATTTGTGCTATGAAGATATCAAAAAGAACAAAGTGGAGTCATCCCGTTAGCGTTAGGGCATTTAACAACAAAAATATCATATTGCGTGCAATGCACCTAGCAATAATTAACAGTTTTAGAATGACTTCGAGGGTCATAAGGTCACTTGGCATCATCCCAGTTTTGTTCATTTCAATCTTCTCTTTTCTTTTCTTTTCTAACACTTCCTGGCTTGCTCCTTTTCCTTCATTTTTTTTCTAATTATTACTCTTTTCTTTCCTCTTATTTCTCACATCCCATAATTTCATCTCTCTTTTTTATTTTTATTTTCTTTCCTTATAATAAAAAATGATTTGATCGAACCCTATGTAGGTTGCCTACATATCATGACGCCGCATGACTCAGATCTTTGCGTAGTTCAGGAAGATCGAAAATAAAGTAAACAGACTAACGTTCTCTTCTTTTTTCTTTTTTACTTTAATGACTACTCTGACGAGAAAAAGGAAATAACATAAACAAATATCATTTTTTTTTGAGTTTTCTAGACTTAATGCACTATAACTTATTCTAAACTCAAGCTTAACAAGCATATACTTTTTTGAAAACAAATACTCTATGAAAAATTATTAAGGAAAAAAACCCTAGAAGAGAAAAATATTTTTTGATTCTTTTTCTTTTCTTTTTTTTTTAGAAAGGAAGTCTAAAGAATAAACCAGAGAAAAATATTTTGAATTTTCATTTGATATCCCTGAAGAAAGATTTCGAACGAGAAATGAAAAAGATAAAAAAACTATTTTTGGATTTCAATTCTTAATTACCTAAAGGAGAAATTCTAAAGATAAACAAAAGATAAGGTATGTTATTTTCTTCTATGTACAATGTCCTAAACAAATTTTTTTTTTCATTAATTTCGCAAAGAAGAACCTCAAAAGAAAATCTTTTTGGATTTTGGAATTAATATCTTGAAAGAAAACTTTTAAAGAGGCACCTTAAGAAAATTCCCTCTTTTGTTTTTTTTTTGGAATTTTTCGGTCTTAATAACTAAAGGAAATATAAAAGTAATTTTTTATTTTAGGTTCTAGATATTAACTTCCTAAGGAAAACCACCTCAAATAAATTCTTTTTTTTCATTTCTAGAATTAGTATTCTAAAGAAAGCTTCTAACGGAAATATAAAACGCAAAATCTCTTCTACTTTTTTTGGATTTTTGAGTTATTACACACTTTTCAAATACAAAATAGAAAGTACAATAACAAAAACTCGACATTACTGTACAAAACTAGAAAGTAAAAGACGACGAAAAAAGAAAAACAAACTCAAAATATAATAACTAAAAAAAGATCTCCTTAAGCAACTCCTGCATGAGCGATCTTGACTGGATGGTCCCAAGTTGTCTGTCATGCTCAAACTCTGGTAAGTAAATCCTCACCTGTATGAGAAAATTAAGACCAAATAAAGTTAAAGGCCTAGAACGCTATGTGAGACAATAACCCTTCCTGTTGGACACATTCAAGACATGATTGTGACTATTTTTCTAAAATTAACCTATACGGCTAAAAGTGGCTAAAATGCAACATTTGGCTAAGACCCCGCGAAGCCAAGAACCTAAGACTCACTAGAAAGACCAGACCCTATGTGGGTTGCCTACGCATCCCGCCCCGAAGACAAGAATCAGGTTCGCGTAGTTCGGGCAGATTGGATACGGGCGAGAAAAAAAATAACTAATTTAGAGAAAAAAAATATTTTTTTGTCTTTTTTTTTTTGAAAATGATGAAATGTAAACTCTTTTGGATTTTTTTTTGATTTTTTTATTTTCGAAAAATGATGAAAGTGCAAAATCTTTTTTTTTTTTTTTTGAATTTTTCATGTTTTTTTTTCTTTTTCTTAAGAAAAATGTGAAAGAAAACATAATTGGGCCCTACTCGCTTTATTTTTCACACATCATCCTCTCTTTTTTTTGCTTTTTTTTCTTTTGCCATCAACTATCATTGGTACGCCAAATGACCCTTTTACCCTTGAAGAAATGCAACATGTAGCACATAGGATGCATCAAGATGGTCTGTTATTTTGGGTACACATGTCCTAGACAGACCCAACCTCTGTGTTGAGTCCCCTAAGTCAAATGCACATGATGCAAACAAACGTTCCTACTAGGGATCCGGCATGAGGCTGCGTTTTCTAGGTTTAAATCCCGGGGGTTGTGTTCTAGACCTGGTTTACCTGAGCGGACAACTCGAGACGAAGAGGGGGCAACATACCGAGAGCACTGAAGTTTACCCGGCCTTGTTGCTGGCCCAGCCCCGTTCTTATTTGGTATAACTTCTACAGAAAAAGCGGGTCATGCGAACGTGTGCACCATTTTTAGAAGACTCAGAGGGGTGGCGTAAGAAGACAGTTATATACAATTCAAATAATATCAAAGCGGCAAATAGACAGCAATTAGCATAAAAGGTTCACAAAATACAGTAATATCAACAATAAATAAAGCCAAGTAAACATCATATTAATAAGCTCGAATTCTTGAACCCTAAACCAGAAGTTTTAGGTTCTTGTCCCTAGTAGAGTCGCTAGAGCTGTCACACCTCCTTTTTACTACCCCCGGAAGGGTATAATGGAGTTGTTTCTAATTTAAGTGACAATCGAAATGGGATTATTCATATTAGAATCAGAGTCGCCACTTGGGATAAGTTATGGTGTCCCAAGTCACCAGTTTGAAATCCCGAATCGAGGAAGTTTTGACTCTTATTACGGTCTGCGAACACAGAAATTAGGGTAAGGAATTCTGTTAACCCGGGAGAAGGTGTAAAGCATTCCCGAGTTTTGTGGTTCTAGCACGGTCTCTTTGATTATACTCGGCTTATTAAAATGTCTAATTACTGATTTTAGAACCTATGTGCATTTACCTTTCACCACTTTTTAATTAAGAAAAATATCTTGAGTCGGGTCACACGTACGTGTACCCATTTGTTTGGCCCGTCAAAAATTATGTCACGTGAACGTGTCCACAATTAATAACGCTTTATTATTATAAAAAAAATTTGGCCAAAGTTACGCGAACGCATACTCCGGTTTTGTTTTTAGAATCGTAATTATGTCATGCGAACGTGTCCACAATCACAAAGATATATTAAACGGGCCTAAAGAAACTATGAATATTCATCAATCACACTCCTTAGAGATTATGAGATATAGCAGTACAACGAAGTGTCCTTTATAATTTTATTATTGTGTACGTTCACATGCCATGGAATTTAACTGAGCCTTTATCTATGTGTTTTTGATGACACTACGAAGGTGAAGCTTCATAAGTTGATTATCTATATTACTGAAGCAAAGTCCAGATGCAATGGTAAATAAAATTAAAGCCTATAATGCCCCTCTCCGAGATTAATCTACCAACAAACATAAATCTATGTGACTTTACATGATATTTAAGACACTCTTATGAATAAACTAAACCAGCAATATGCAATCACTACAAAACTCATAATTATTGTGCAATAAAAGATCAGGAAAAGAAAATCTCGTAACATTAGAACAAGATAAAAATTGAGATGTCAAAAATCGCAGAAGCAGAAGGACCTACCACAGGTCCATTTAGCATCGGATCGGACTACGAATGAGATCGGAACCACTTGGCCAAACACGAGCACCTCATTGCAACTCCGGTTTTGTTTCAATTTCTTCCTCTTGAAATAAACTCTAATCAAAGGGATCTAAGAATTTTCCTTTTTTTTGAATTCCTTTTTTTTCTTTGGTTGAATCTGAAGCTAATAAAACTTAAGATAAGAAGGTGAAAATCTTTTTTTGAGGTAATATTTTCACCTGTCATTTAAGACATCGTTCTAGTCTGCTGCTCCTGGAATATCTGATTCCCGGGTGGCGATTCCTCCGAGTGAATACGCTTTGCCTGAGGTTGGAAGAGGCAGGATCAACAGGAGTGTGTTCTGACTTCGAGGAAGTCCGTCGGCTTCACTTCGTGGTGAATTTAGGCACAGTTTTTCTATGTTCCGTTTCCTCCTCCATCTATTAAACTTTTCTTGTGCAGGCCTGAGATAGGCTTATGTCTGAGCTGCTTCGTCAGGGGGCCAGGCTTCAGAAATTTCTAGATGAGGGCGAGCCCCTTAGGCTCCTTAGCGAGGAGAAAGAGGTTGAGTTGCAGCATTGGCGGTATGAGGCGTACGGGAGCTCGAATTATGAGAGCTATTTGATGGAGCAGGTAACTTTCTGTGACTCGTGCTTTGCTATCTTTGGCCCTTAAGGTTAACCCCATTTTTGTTATATTAGCTGCAGAAAAAGATAGAGGTTTTGGAATACCTCAAGGGCGACATCGACCGCATCAGAACTGTCTGTGGTAGGCTAAGGGCTCAGGTGCAAGCTCAAGCTTTAGAGGAGACAGGCGCCTCGGCCAAGGTCCCCGCCTTCGAAGTCCAACTCCGCTTGGCTCGTGATAATGTCAAAGTTCAAGCGGATATGATCGGGAAACTCGAATCTGACCTCTCGAAGATTAGGCTGAGATAATTGATTCCCGGGCTGAAGCGGCACTAAGCCGAACCAAGGCTGATCAGGAGATGGTGATTCGTATAAAAGACGTTGCGGATGCTCAAGCCGAGCTGAAGCGAGCCCTTGGCCAGGAGAAGAGGATCGAGGAATATGTTCGTTGCAGATCCCAAAGAGAAGTACTCGAGGAGATCGGTGCGAGGGGATTTGTTCTCTCAGAGGAATTAGCTCGAGCAAGGGCGGACGAGCGTGACGCGTGGTCACTTCTTGCTGATGAGGCAAAGAGAGAACCCGGCAAGCTGTAGCCCTTTGTAGCGAAACATAGATTTCACCATTTTGTCGCTTTGTATTTGATAAATGTAGAGCATGTCTGTAGATGGAGAGTGCGCCCCTCTTTTTTTTTTCTATGCGTATGTAAGATAAGAGGAAACTTGAAGCTTTATCTCTTTTGCATCTTTTTTCTGTTATTGCTTTTGACCAGGCAGGCTGGTTTAAGTGTTTGGCGGGATCCTCGTAGGTTCGGAAATGATCGGACAAGCCCGGGGGCTCTTAATTGTGATCCTTAACGTGATCAGGTGTTAGGGCCTCCGTGCTTTGCCCTGCTGTTTAGGGTTAGTCTCCGAGTCAGGCTTTGACTCGAGCTTTCCTGCCCTTAAATCATCTATGCCCGTGCGAGCAGGTAGTAATTGTTCCCATTTCTTAACCTTGGGCATTTGCCGTTTCGACCATTTTTGGGTTCAATCTTTGAGTCGCATTACGATTCGAGGTTCAAATTGACCCTCAAGTTTTATCCTGCCTGCATGGGCAGACGGCGATGGCCTTTTGTGCTTCGGATCAAAGTGACCTTACAGGTGGGTGGCCCGGGGCTCACTTGGCTGGCGATAGTGGCATTTATGTCGTGCCCTTAGGCATATTGTAGTTTAACCATTTCGGGTCCAATCTCCGAGTCGCGTTGCAACTCGAGGTTCACTTGACCCTCAAGTTTTATCCTGCCTGTATGGGCGGACGGCGATGGCATTTTGTGCTTCGGGTCGAAGTGACCTTATAGGTGCATGGCCCGGAGGCTCACTCGGCTGGTTGACAGTGGAATTTATGTCGTGCCCTTAGGCATGTTGCAGTTTAACTATTTCGGGTCCAGTCTCCAAGTCGCGTAGTGACTTGAGATTTAATTGACCCTTAAGTTGTCAATTTTCAAGCTGCCACTAATGGCTCTTTGGTCGTAGAAGCCTTTTAATATGTGGCCCGGAGGCTTGCATAGTTAACTATTTTGGATCCACTCTCCGAATCGGGTTACGATTTGAGCTCATTTTAATCCTCAAGTTGTCAATTTTTTAGCTGGCGACAATGGCTCTAACGTTGTTTGGTCATAGAGACCTTTTAATATGTGGCCCGGAGGCTTGCATAGTTAACTATTTTGGATCCACTCTCCGAATCGGGTTACGATTTGAGCTCATTTTAATCCTCAAGTTGTCAATTTTTTAGCTGGCGACAATGGCTCTAACGTTGTTTGGTCATAGAGACCTTTTAATATGTGGCCCGGAGGCTTGCTTAGCTGGCAATAATGGCTCTTACGCTGTTTTTGCCCGTGGGCTTTTTTATAGGCTTTGTTTTCCGCTCGTTAAGGTCTTTTGAAATAGTTTTTCCTGACCCGTTGTTGGTTCTAGAAGAACCTCGATTTCAAGTCGTTTCGGCGATGTTTCGAGCACCTCAGAAGGTTCATAGCTCGTTTTTACTTATTGAGGGAAGCATGTTTTAACTGGTTCTTTCCGAAGTATATTCGAAGTAGTGGCCTGCAATTTTGTTTAACGACGGTCGGGCGTCCCCGAGTCGCATTAATTTGGCTATATCAGCCGTTTTGACCGTAGTCATATATGTTTGGCCGGAGCCATTTTTGATCTCGAGTGATAGTTTAGGCATCTATACCAAGGGTATGCCCTTTTGGGATTCTTACAAATGCGGCGTATAGCTTAAACATTGGGATTTTCATGTCTGTTGAGGTCTTACAGTTTGTCATGCTTGTTGAGGTCTTACAGATTTTTGTTGTAATGTAGAATAAATCTGGTTACATCGAGTCTGCCCGCTAGGGGTCTAACAGTTTCGAGTTTTCTAGGGCATGGCGATTAATAACAGTCTCCTAGTCACCGAGTTTATTTAAGCTTCAAAACTGCTTCTCGTGATCTCGGAGTTGCCTTGTAGGGGCTTCATGAGCCCGGAGTTCCGACCCTGGGGTCGTGCGGGTGTTGAATTGCTGACGTTATGTCTCAGAGTAGTTCGGGACACGTTTGGTGGAGAGGGCCCATGTCGGGGGTATATTTGAAATTTCCTTGTTTGGAGAATAAGATGCTGAAAAGATATCCTTTTATTGCTTGGTGCAGACATATATTGTTTCTTTGTCGTGAGCTCGGCTCATGCGGGCTCGGCTTCTCGGACCATTCGATCTGGTACATAATTCCCTATCGATACTTAGTCTGCCGTTTCCCGGTCCTCCCGAGGGGACGGTGCCCTTATAAGAAGATCACCCCTCATTGTTGGACTGTAGAACAAGGCGAGCGATCTTATTGGATTCTCCTCTGGGGGTACGCTGCTCTGCTAATAATCTTGCTGACGAGGCCCTCTTCAGGGCGGAAGTTCGATTAAGGGGAAAAAGCATGATGGGCCATTTTTTAGAGCCTAGGGATCTCCGGGTAGAGTTAGAACCTTTGAATACCTTGGCCAGTTGTCTGCATACAGGTTAGTGAAAAAATAACAAGGGAGTAAAGCAGTTCTTCCTCACCGCGGGATGTGTAGGCAACGTTTTGAGATTTGGTATGTTCCTACTCTTTCGAGACGTGAGTCTCGATAGAGCCCCCCGCTATGTCTTGTCAGGCTTGGTCGAAGATGTGGTTTTCTTACCTTTTGATCCCTCCGAGGGTGGGGGCATTGATGCTGGCGACGAGCCAGATGGCGAAGAATTTGCTCTTGTCGTGTATTGCTTTCTGTCGACTTATTTTAGTCCTGCCCTTTGAGAGGGGTTTCATGCTTTTGGCAAAATGGGGCCGACGCTATCTCTGGGTGGTGTGCCGGCAGTCGTCTGAATAAGATGCCCATGCTTTGCGCCTCCTCCGATGGTACAGAGCTCAACGTCCTAGCCCGAGCTCAGACGGGTTATATCAAGAGAATGGTCTTTGTGGCGATTTGTCATTTGGAATTCACCAGGGATTCGGGATGCGGGGGAGATTTGGTCCGTTAGTTCGGACCGCCCCACTGACTTTGGTCCGTCATCGTTGTTGCATGTGATCGAACCACCTGAATTCATGAACACATGTTTTATTCAAAATAGATCAAATGAGGGAGAGGGTTACCAATGCGTCAGTGTGATGCTGAGGAGGAGTCTCGGTGCCCTTTTCCCTGGTTGTAAGGGCGTCCTCCGAAATATTTCCTTGGACCCATTTTTTCCTGAAGGCGAACAATTTTACTTCCTATTTCATGAGTCCCCGGAGGGTGTCGTCGCTCATTCACTGTCGTGGTAATACGTCGTGGTTTGTTTGCTTCATCCTCCTTGGTTGCCCTCCTCCCTTGGGGCTGGACTCGAGCATGATCGTTCGATGGTACTCGGCGGTGATTTTTATTGAGTAGCACGACTGTCATGCCTCTAAGCTAGTGGCCATTTTTGACCCCGTGGTCGCGCGAGCCCTGCGGTCCCCCTGCCGAGTTGTGGTTCCTTTGAAAGGGTCTTGGTCGAATAGGCCTGAGTCATTCGGCGTCCTTGATTTCGCTTGTGGTGATCATGATATTTGGTATAGCAATGTTGAAATTGTACTCTGCTGAGCGGGGTTCCTCTACCGATTGTGCCTCGTCAGATCCGGCTCCACTAAAGGTTCCTCGAGGACGTTGCCCTCGAACTATTTCCCTACCGTTGCGAGGTGGGTTACATCTTGTGGCGTTCTTCCTATTCGCGGCGCATGAATGGTACCTCTATCTGTTTGGCACTTGTTTCTTTGTTGGGAGCCTGCTTGGGTATACCAAGCCCATAGAGGCTCCCGGACAAATGTTCGTGGCCCTGATTCGTGGTAGGTGCCTGGTACGGGCATCCGACTAGGTCTTGGTTGGGTATCTGATTAAGCTTCGTTTGAAATGACGCTGAGTCGTCGGGCATGCTTCGTTTAAACTTTGGACGAAGGCATGGGTTGCCTAGTCATCCGAAACCGGGAGTGATCTCATTCATCCTATCAGGGAATAAGGCATGACTCCCTGTGGTGTTTCATTCTCTCTTTGTTCGGCCTCCGATATGCCGGGCTCTTCCATTGCTGCTTCGATGGCATCGACATGTTTTTCTTCTGAGGAATCTGTTGGCACGGTAAGTGAGTTCGTGAAATCAGGCGCTAGGCTGCGGTGCCACATCATGGTTTCTCTTGAGAGTGTTTCCCCAAACTTTTTCAATGGGATGAGCTCGAACGCATCATCTTGAATGTCGCTTTCGTTTTCCGCATACGTGTAAGCGATGGTGCGCTCGTCGGGATCCGAGGTCCTGTCACACCTAGGGAGTTCTAGAGTTCCGTATTTCCGTGAAGCGGGTTCTAGAACAGCTTCCCCGGGAGATAACTGTTGTATGAGCCTCCATGAACTTGACTTGATTCTCTTGGAGAGATCCTCCAGCGTCTTCGTTGTGGCGGGATCTGTTATCGATCCGTTGTTGTTTGATACTCATTTGGCGCAGGGAACCGTTTCCGGCGCTACTGTGCTGGGGATCCCTGGATGGCTCTGCAACTGAGCGATAACCAACTACTGTGCCTACAATATTTCAAAAATGTCATGAACACTAACTTCCTGTTCTTCCGGGGCTGGGGTTTTTTGAGCTTCCTGTTGGTCGTTGTGTCGTATGCTCCTGTTGGTGTAAGAAATTTCGCCGACTTGCTGTGCATTCTATGAGTCCACGTCCGCTAGAATCGATCCGGACACGTTATCGAGATTCTGTAGTGGTGCTCCGGCGGCCGGGACAGCCACGCCATTTTCCCAGTGATTTTCGAGGTTGTCATTCTCGACCCTGTTTACCGAGCCAGACATTTTGACCTGAAATTAAAGGATCTTGGACAAGAAAAAGTGTGAAAGATAATATGCGTTCGTGCAATGAAACTAGCAAGAAAATAATCACTATTATTTTTAGCCCCACGATGAGTGCCAAACTGTTTACCGTGAAAATGGTAACGATAATTAAATTTATAAATGGGATTCTAAAAATATGTGATCTATTTCCGAGCTAGTTGTTAGAGTAATTGATGCTAAGAATATGAAGTCTAAAGATTAAATGCGAGTTGAAACAA